TATGGCACGATAAATGTGAAAGTACTGACGAATGTGAAAATTGGTTACAAAGGGGGAACTAGAGTATTATTGGATCATATACTAGAATGACCTAACCTAGTTAACAGAGTCAGAGCAAGCCTCCCAGAGAAAAAGCCATTTAATCTAAGCACCAAAGGATAAAAAGGAGTTACTAGGTAAAACGAGAAGGTAAATGTTTCTCAGAATGGCAAGGGGTGTGAGGAGAGAAATCACATGGAAATCTCAAAGAAGTGGGAGACAATCAATTTGGCTGTGGCAGAAAGAATGCAAGGCAAAGCAGTCTGGGACCTGGGGATAAATAAAATAGCAGATTATGGATGACAGTGTCTCCAGGTCAAATGTCAGTATAAGAATTTATCATATGCCTGCCATAGGCCAGGTAACTGAGAATTTAAAGATATTTAAGGCATGTTTTCTTGTTCTCCAGGAACTCACATTCTTCTGTGGAGACTGACAGGTAAACCTGTAGTGGGATAAATCAAACTAGATATAAAGAATTATTAACCTTTTCTGACAGTTTGGAAAAAGCTTCCTAGAGGAAGTAATGCCTGAGCAGGGATTTGAAAAATGAGTATGAGTTCTGAAGCTAACAGTGGCTTATCAGGCAAGGGACCAGTATGTGCAAAAGGACATTAAAAAAAATCATAGCTCTTCCATGAAAGCCCTCCTTGATAGCCCAGAGAAGAAAGTACTCTCATGTGGTATAGGGCCTTTGTACCACAATAGAGTTAAGGATAGAGTCTACGGGATGATAAGGTACTTGAAGAAAAAAGCTTCATCCCCCCTTTTTTTTTAATCACCAGTGAAGCTTATTATAGTTCTTTGCTTAAAGAAGGCACTCAGTATCAGTAAATATGTATTTGTAGAATAACTAGCTATTTCTTTAATTAAAATTAACTAAGTGATCCCTTACATACAGATGGCATAAGAGAGGAAATATGCTTTAATATACTTTTCAGAAGCTCAGAAAGAGATTACCTAAGAAGGAAAGGCTGCATAGTGAAATCCCCCTGACTCTATAAGTTCAAATTTATGCAGGTGCCTGGGCCTCCCTTGCAAAAGAAGGCAACAAAAATGGGTGAGAATGACACAACGCATAAGGTACTCGCCATTAAAAATGTGTAAGGTTGAAATTTTTTATTTATTTTTTTATAGTGTAGCTACAAATACTGAGATAATCAAGGATTTGGCAGAGCTAATGTCATTAGGGCCAAGAGCAGATAATTTAATAGTTCATCTCTTCTCCTTCCCCCATCTGAGCCTTGCGTTTTAAGAAGCCATTTAAATTAACTTCAGACTGTTCTTGTAGACATAACTAAATCCTGCCCATACCAGTGAATTCCAATGACACCATTGTTTCCATGGTAACTAATGCACTTCAAAAGGGGAAAAAATAGAGAGCAAAACTAAAAACTAGGGAAAAAAATGGAATAAAGTGGTACAAACAAAGCATAACATTTCTCCTTTGCATTTATAGAACACTTTCTAATTTCGAATGTTTTACCGTTACTTAGACTCCAAGGCTCTTTAAGTGTCAGAAGGATGTGAGGTCATCAAGTCCACATTCCACACATAGCTGGGATTCCCTCTACAACCGTGGCTGCACTGTGGTTGTCCAACTGCTTACAGAGCTCATTGCTGGAAAGTTTTCACTCTCACTTGCAATGATTACTGAGCTTGTTCTACAGGTTTAAGAGAGAATTAAGACATTCTACCTTCTTTAAAAATGTTTGCTATTTATAGGCAAATAATTAAAACATAGGGGTGGAAAAGAGCTGTACAATAAAGACACAGGACAATGCCAAAAAAGCCAACTTGGAGGGATTATGCCTTTCCAATGACTTTCATCTCTACTTCAGCCCCACACATCCATAACCACATGAACCTTTGTCATGACCAGGACTACTCTAATTCTGCAAACATCAAATTTCTGATGACAAACAGCTCTTTCAGTCCCTAACTAACCCTACACTAGGCCTGTGAGCCTCATGCAGCCCAAGATCCTTCCCTCGGAATACTTACTCAGGATATTTCCTTGCTAATATCCTCAACTTTTTATCCTTCAGTGGCATTTACTGAGCACTAGCCTAACGTGGACTTAGTGACCATCCATCTCTCTTCCCCATTGTTATGTTCCATAAGGGTTCTCTCTCTCACCCTCTGTCCTACAGTTTACCAAAGAATCCGTCAGAACAATTATGAAATTGTTTGCCTCTTTACTTATAGAGTAGTAAGTGTCAAATGCTGCACGTAAGTGAAAATAACACGAAGACTGAAAGGCATATATGCTGAATTTGGCAGCTATGGTCATTAGACCCCCAACTAGCAAAGTGCATACAGGACCTGCCCCATGGCCATAGTTGCCTCTAGTTACAGCATCAGTTAAAATCGTCTTTTGTTATATACATGATGATAATTTATGGAGAGGGTTGGAAAACAAAAAGCTCTTGCTTCTGCTGTTTTGAAAATTTTTCCCTCAGGGATTTCCTGATGCTTTTGAGTGAGCTGGACATATGCCTCCACTCTTATCTTAAAGAATGAAGGCTGTTATCCTGACCTTGAAGTGGCAGTAACACACCATTGGTCTTATTATCTAATTTCTTCCAGATAGGATTATGGATTACTTGTTCTAATAATTTCTGGTAGATAATACCCTAACTTTTTGCTGATTTATGTTTTAAAATCTGATATAAGTAATCTTATTTAATTATCTAGGTAGGCATTACTCGTATCTTTATTTTGGAGAACATAATAGCAAGTCACATTGTTCAAACTAAGTGCTTAATTGAGACAGTTTTCCCTCCAAGGCAGGCATTTGGTTACCATTGCCTTACAATTTTTCCAACCTACCATTCACAACATAGAACACGTTGGGGGTTTTATCACTTATTTATCTACATATAAAAGCTGTCCCTAAAACACAATTTTACCTCTGTTAGTGAGAACACCCTCAGATCGTCTGAAAGGTAAACATACAGGTATTATCCCCATCAGGCTCCTCAGTTTTCATAAGAGCATGCTGATCTAATCCAGAGCTCCATGGCTTGTTAATGCACACAGCTGTGCACTAACTGGCAAGCGAAGACCATCTCAACTCCACTACTCCACTAATTTGTACTTTTCAGAAGCTCTTCTGAGAGAGAAATATTTATGAAAACTTCGCTAAGAGTCCAACTCATTCTAATACATCACTGGATTTTATGTCATGTCATAGTCTCATTGAAGAATTTAATGAGAGTTATGAATTCTCTCCATACCAAACAAACACAAAGTGAACATACAATTTAGGGATAAGGGAGAAAGAATCATGACCCCTAAAGTTAATCCATGGGCTGAAGTCTAAAAGCTCTGCTCTAAATTGGTACAGCCGCTATGGAAAACAGTATGGAGGTTCCTCAAAAAACTAAGAATTGATCTACCGTATGATCCAGCAATCCCTCTACTGGGTATTTACCACAAAGACTTAAAAATTCATATCTATAAAGATATTTGCACACCAATGTTCACAGCAGCATTATTCACAGTGGCCAGGACATGGAAGCAACCGAAGTGCCCT